GGCGAGTATGAACGAAGATTTTAAAACGAAAGGGTAATACACGGGGCACGAATATGACCCCAAAATTTCAGCCTCCCAGCTTTCCTAATTGCTCAGTTGAAAGCGGGTGAAGAAGTTCACTCACAGATGACCTCCCGATAATAGGGGTTTTTGCTCGCTGTAGCAACGTTGTGGCGCAAAACACATTTCAAAAGTCTCTTTGAGAAAAAGAACGATCCCCAATAAAAAAAAAATCACATACTCTTCTCCGTTCTCATCATCAGCATTATCGCAGTTTAGCCATTCTTCGGTGTTATCATCGAGTTCCGTCATCAGACTGAGACACTGCTCCACTGAAACATTTCATTCCTTACTTGATTAAGGGCGGGCTGGTGGCGACATCTATTTTTATTTTTTGCATCTGCATTTGACCCTATGAGAGCATACCAGTAATATCACTAACATGGAATTCCTAAACTGTCTATCCAACGACTCTGGCATTCACAGTACCAATTATTGCATTATTTTACCACTATTTATGCGTTTTGTGCTGTGTAACAGCATTACAAAACGCAAATTGTCATGGGGTTATCTGTGTGTGTGTGTGTTTGTCTGTGTGTCCCACATTTTGTCCCAGGCTTTCAATTCGGGAACCACAAAAGCTAGGCGGGCTGAAATTTTGGTATAGTGCCCCCCGCCAGCGTGTGACGCAGCAAATTTAAATTCAGCTTTACCGTACCCGCGGGTAACACGCACGACCCCGTGAAAGTTTTTTACGGGTAAGTTAATATCTCGGGAACCACGGAGTCTAGAAGGCTGAAATTACAGGGTAATAACCCCCTGCTCACGCTCAACCTTGCCCATTCAAATTCAGAGTTCCCGCGCTCTCGGGTATCACCTGCGGGCTAGTGAAAGTTTTTACGGGTAAATTATTATTTCGGGAACACGGAGTCTAGGAAACTGAAATTTCAGGGTAATAACTCCTTGCCCGCGCTCAACCTTGCCTATTCAAATCCAGCGTTCCCTCGCTGTTTAATATCACCTACGGCCTCGTGAGAATTTTGGCGGGTAAACAACAAACTTGGGATAAAGATATTCCCCCTTCAAGGTTTCGAATTCAGCTTACATGCGCTGGTGCGTGGAATTTTTAACTATTTTCCAATGTCTGAACTATTTTTGCACAGACTAAAGTACAAAGCAGTGAAAATTATTAATAGGCAATCGTTCGATGGGCTGAATTGCACAAAACGCATGATCGCATCGGCTAGTCTGGTGCGCGTTACCATTTATTTCATTCGCGAGTTATGAATTTTCCCGCCATAGTTTTCACGTGCCCGTACGTGAGCCCTATTTATTATGTACTTTCCTCTGTGTTCCAAGTGCTTATTATATACTTTCCCACACAGGTCTTTGAAAGTGAACCATTTTCTGAATTGTTTTCATGCTGATTGTTTCTCTAATTAACTCTTTCCATTGTAACACCGTTACTGAGCGTCAGGGTGAAAATGTTGCTCAATTTTGCCGTTGTATTTAAAATCATGTCTCGTGCTTACGAATACTCCTCCCTTCTTCATCGCCCCTACATCACTGCTGAAGATTGATTGCGCTGAACAAAAATTGTAACAAAGATGAGGGGTGTGTTCAGTGAAGCAAAAATGATTTTCCCTTTTTCTTACGGGTTTTTTCCAATTCCAACAAAACCGGTGACCCAGTGAAATGGACTAACAAAGCGGTGGGATGAACTGTGCCGCTTTCTTCTTCACCATACCCGCCGCATTCTCGCACAACGACACCATTACTTCCAGAGCACTGTGCCGGTATGAATCATCCTTCTCCCGATCAGCAACTGTCTGCAACAACCAACAATTCATAGCTAATGCAACAGCAGTAAAAATGAATGTAAACAAAACACGAAATTAAAGTAAACAAAAAACTTGGCACTGATCCAAAAAAATATATAAAAAACGAGTTTGGAAAAAAGACAGAATTTTTACCGATCCAGCTTCCATACACAGATCAGTCTACGGTAAGACAATCCTGATACAAAAGGATTTTTGGATTTCGCACTCAATTCTACAAGCGCTAGCTTGAAATCTAAATATCCAGTTATCCATTTTAAATTCAAATTTTGGTGGTTTATTATGCGTTTTGTGCTGTGTAACAGCAGTACAAAACGCATATTGTTACGGGGTTGTCTG